AAAATAGGTTGAGTCTTATTTTAGTTTGTCTGTTTTATATATTTTTAAGTTAATTTATTCTAATTCGTTGGTATAATATATTCTCTTAATAAGCAGCAGAAATATTTGTAAATACGTAAAATAATGTGCAATCCGAAAAATCTGGCATACTCAGCATTGTTAAGCGCAATGTGCTGACGCTGCTGCAGACCTGCAGTGCTGAGTAGGAATGCCAGTTTAGCTGCTCACCAAGTCACCTAGAAAATGCACGCACTTGTCTTGACACTGGTGGAAGTCTAGAAGACTATTATTGTACCGTTGTATGTGTTAACAGAACTGGTGAAATTACATAGTGGTGTTCTAAGAACCAAAGCTCAATGCGAGTGATGTAGGCTTTGGTGGTTTACCCAAAATTTCCCAAAATCTTTATTTAATCATACGCTGTACCCTCAAATATGAGTAAACAAGCTTCCATACAATAATTTTTCACAAAAAACAACAAAAGTAATAGAACACACAGAAGAAAGTGCAACTTGTGCAAGTGATTCCACAAGTGATATTGAGTGCGGAAAAGTAATTCCACAAGCTACTATTTCTAGTGGTGAAGTGACACTGCCAGGACAACATATAATTAAGTCTGCATGGCCTGAGATACTGGGATGTGGGAAGATAAGAAAAAGGTTCACCCGTGGCTTGTGAGTGATTCCGGAAAAATCGGATGTTCAGAGTGCTCTAGTGTGACATATCTAGGCCCATTTAAATCACAAGGTGCTAGTGTTTCCAAAGAACGGAGTTCAGTTTCAGTTTCTTTCAACGGCCGCACAAGATCAGTCCAACTATCATCCTTGAGAAAAAAATGTTTGCTTCATTCAAAGTCGCAGTCACACATCAGTGCTGTTAAAATTCTTCAGAGTGCAAGGGAACGACAAGTTGAAACTATCGTGGACCGTTTAAATAAATATTTAGAACTGCATATTATATAGCCAAAAATGATAAACCATATACTGACCATTTTTATTTGTTGCAATTGCAAGAATTAAATGGCACAGACATTCCACAAGGATTGCATTCATGATTTAGTGCTACAAATATAACTGACCACGTTGCACAAGAAATGAGATAAAGAGTCAGCAAACGCATCCTAGAAATAAAGGTAAAATAGCCATTCTAATAGACGAGTCCACTACTCTTAGTAGCAAAACTACTTTGATAGTCTATTTGAAATGTGAAACGAACAAGTGAGATGATCCACATTTTATTTTCCTGGATTTGCTAGAATTACCAGATACAAGAGCAAAAACAATAAGCGAACACTTACTTACTTGTCTTGCTGAGCATGGGTTTGATCATGATTACCTTCAGGACAATCTTGTTGCTTTTACCAGTGATGGTGCCAGTGTAATGTTGGGGAAAAACTCTGGTGTGGCTCAACGACTGTTGCAGAAGTACCCTAATATTATAGTACAGTACAGTCAGTTCTGCTATAACGCGATAGTTGTGTTTTTGTAAAATATCATGTTATAGAAAATCGCGTAATAGAAATAACAGGGCTTATGGAGAAAATAGGGTTAGGTGCAGATTACTACTCGAAATCGAAAAAAAATTAGTAGTTAGCCTAACACAAAGGATAGCACAGTCTAAATAAATGTTACATTCATATCTAATAATGAAATCATACAGTAAATGTAACACTTTACCTTGAAAAAATCTGAATATAACTTGATGGGGGAGAAGGGTGATTTTGAGGTTGATAACATCGAGCTTCTCTTCAAGTGTTATATCCTTTATTTTACGATCATCGCCGGGAATTCGATCACCAGAACGCTTCTTGGAGATATTCTTCTTTACCATATTCACAGTTAATACCACAAAATTGGAGAAATAGTAAGCAAAAATCGTGTTACAGCAAACAAGCATTTGCGTTACACAAATATCGTTCCTCTATTCATAAATCGCGTTAGAGCAAATTCGCGTTATCAAAACACGCGTTATAGCAGAACTCACTGTATGGCATTGCTTAAATCATTGCTTGGAATTGTCAGTAGCAGATACAATTTCTGAAGTACATAGTGTTAATCATTTTCGTTCATTTATGGATAAACTGTACTCTTTATACAGTCAATATCCTAAGAAACAAAGAGAAATTCAATAGTGTGCAGCGAAGCTTGATGAACAGATGAAAAAATTGGAAGAGTGACGGAAACGAGGTCTAGACTGTTAAGCAACCATGTGAGCAATCTCATGTTTATTAAACTTCACGGTCCTCCGATTCCAACCTGGAAACCAGACGACTACGTACACAAATGGCTTAGGTATCATCGTTCAGCAACTGATACACAAACAAGAATAGTCAAGTCCAAGGATCTCACTGTGAACCAGTTTGGAAATTCTGTTAAAAATTTCTCCAAGACTGCAAATGTTCAAGGTGAGCCTAAATAAATTATTTTTTAAATTGTATTTAATAAAATGTATTGCTTTGAGACTGTGGAGTCATGAAAAGCTACGCATCACTATTATCAGGTATCGAAACTGGAGGTAAAAATGTTGCCAGCATGTATAGTACAGTAGGATATAGGGATCCGGAAAGTTCAGCATATCTGTCTGTCTCGTCTGTCTGTCACGAAACTCCTCCGACACAATGGGACCAATTGTTACCAAAATTGGAACACAGATTGATTAGACCTATGCGAGGTTCAGTTAAGCCTTGATATAAATGATATTGCCACCCCCCACCAACCCCTCTTTTGACCCCCTAAAATCAGTCAGGACCCCCAGTTGTATGGGCTCGCTGCACTCGCCAGTGCCCCCACCCACCATCTGAGTAACACTCAAAATGCATTCCCTCACTTCTTTTTTTTAGCACTACACCACTGTTTATATTGTATAAGGTGCATTCAGAAACATTATTTAAAGAATGCAATTTTCATTAATTGTATTGTTTTGGGGGAGAAAAGAGGGTAAAAAGCCACACAAAAGTTATGAAAAGGTCACACTTTGGAACGCATCTCATTACTACTGCTTTATTTTAATGGTAATTAATGATTCGCGATACGATGATTCACCTTACACTGCAATATTGGAGGACACATTAACGTCTTATTTAAGGCTTTACTGTATACGTGAAATGTATTCGACAGGTTTTGACCGAATTACACTCATCGCGTCAACGACAAGAGTCTTATTGCCCTGCACAAGCCAAAATCGCTCCTATTAGCGATTACAGTCATATTGCAATTATATCTTGTGCTAGTCAGGCCATACCTCGACTATGCGGTTCAGTTGGTGCCCTAACTATAGAATGTATATCAAATCACAGGAGTCGGTGCAGCGAAGAATGACGAAAATGATTCCTGGACTTAGAAACCTTCCATATCAAGATAGGTTAAAGAAACTAAACCTGTATTCCCAAGAAAGATGAAGAGTGCGGGGAAATATGATAGAAGAGATTAAGTGGGTGAAAGGAATCAATTAAGGAGATATAGATAAAGTTCTTATAATATCTGAGCAGGATAGGACTCGTAGCAACGGATTTAAGTTAGATAAATTTAGGTTTAGGAGGAAGATAGGAAGTAACTGGTTCACAAATAGGGTGGTAGATGAGTGAAACAAGTTTAGCAACTTTGTAGTAAGTGCTGAGACGCTGGAAAGTTTTAAGAGGAGGCTAGATAGATTCATGGACGACAGAGAGTGGTTGTAACTCTCAACAGGAGCTGCCATGGGCAGGCCAACCGGCCTATTGCAGGCTCCTTATTTTCCTATGTTCTTATAGGGAAAGTCTCTTGAAAAGGGATTCAGCGAGGTAAACAACAAAATTGGCGCCGGGAGGAGAATTGTGAAACGGGATAGATTAAATGACAAAATTAAAACAAAAATACTTAAAATCATAATAGAAAGTTGTTGTCTCTTTTAATATACTTAAAATCATCAAAACAAAATCTATAGCAAAAATAAAGAAAATCCATAAACAACTTCTGGTGGTAGCCATTATCTACACCTTTACCATTTATATAATGAGTTACGTAGTGCACAAAGGCAGAACATACCATACAGAAAACTCGGATCAAATAGCAATGACCCCAAATGGATAAATAATTATTTAAAGATTATTGACCAAAGGAAGCCTGTAGGTAGGAGACTAAATCGTGAAGATTACCTCCAAGGCATTGGCCAGTTGGGTTAAGACCGAGATAAGAAAAGCAAAGAGGACTAATGAACTGAGGGTAACAAGGGCGGCAAAGTCAAACCCCAAGGGATTCTTTCAAAAGTATCAAACTAAAACACGAGAAAAGATTGGACCAATACCGGTGAGCTAACTGAGAACAACGGAGAAATGAGAAATAATCTGAACAGGTATTTTTCAACAGTTTTCACCAGCCAAAACTTAAACATGATACCCGAGGCACCGATTATATAAGAGATAGTGAAGAAACTAGATTAAACAAGATTTTAGTGATAGTACTGATGTTAGTAAGCAAATAGACAAACTAAAGCCCAATGAGTCACCAGGTCCCAATGAGATATTTGCCAGAGTATTAAAGGAATGAAAGGAAGAGCTTAATATGCCCTTAGCAAAGCTGTTTAGCATGTCATTAAAACGGGTGTAGTACCAGAATCCTTTAAAATAGCGAATGTGATACCGATTTTCAAGAAGGGACATAGATCACTATCCTCTAACTACCGCCCAATCAGTTTAGCATCAATTGTAAGCAAATTACTGGAAGCATTAATTTCAAACCCTATTCGAAATCACCTGGAGAAGCACAGGTTACGAATGTGAATCACCTCTAGTCAGGTACTTGTTTGAAGTGTGCAAAATGGGCAGTTAGTAATGGGCCGAGTAGGAGGTGCACCGTCAAGATACCCTCACTTTATATCACCTTATTTAAACTTATTAACCCTACTTAGTCTAAACATTAACTCCTTATACTCTTATCTTTCTATTTTAGGTAGCAATTAGTGGTTAAATACCCAATAACTCACGAAAATCGCCTCTAAATACGGAAGTCCTGGGAGTCCATTACCTAAGATAAACAAGTCGCTTTTTCACATCCGCTTGAACGTCTCTTAGCTGGATGTGATGTTATTTATGTTGTCTATATTACCACGAACACTTTTTATTGATTTTTTTTATTTACGTTCTAATAAAACTATTCTTTATTGATTTTATTTATGGATTATTTCAAAAAATATGATTTTGTTATATTCTAGACTAAGCTACGTTTATCATCTATTGTTTAAAAAATATTTAATGTTAAATACCTTACACAGCATAACATTAATTTCTGGATCTACAGACCTAACACAAAAACCTAACTATCTTTGATGGATTCTAAATCACTAATAATTTTCTTAATCATAGTTTGTATAAGTTAGCTTCAATTAATTCGCATGTGACTGATAAATAAAAAACAAAATGGTTAAGGCATTTGTTTATAGTATTTTAGTAACTGTATTTTGATCAATGGAAATATTTTTCCCAGTACGCTTAATCTTCTATAATAACTAGGGCCCGGATAGTTATGCACTAAAAAACCATGAAATATGCATGCAAATATGCACTAAAAACAGGGGAAATATGCATTTATATGCACTAAAAATGTCGCTTATAAAGCCAAGAATGCAGGTTATACGGAAACAAAATAGTTAATATAAACTAATGTTAATGTTTATTAAGCAATATACGTAATGTATTTAACATATATATGTGAAAGTGCTTCAAAAAATATATATGAACATGTATTTACATTATAGACTGACATATTTTCAGACATTACAGATTGTGGTTGCATTTGATGATGACATGGTGGCGTAAGTTCTCAAAGTTAAAACCCCGCCTGTTGTCTGTCAGCATAGCTTTATATTCTGAGAACACCCTTTCTACATCACACGAGACGATTGGTGCATGTTTCATACATAGGAGGTCTGACATAGTGAGTGGCTGTACCGTCTCGTCAATAATAGCATCACCAGACATTATCTGACTGACTTTTTTCAGCTTTTCAAATCCCTTGTTTTTGTACAACACGTTACTCAGTTTACCATAGTAAGCATCAGACTGCAAACTTTTCAGTTCATCAAGAACACCATTAACCAACGAAATTGCCAAGGACAGCAGTAGTCCCCTTTCTTCAAGTCTAGTAATTGTTGATGAGATGCACGCAAAATTCGTGGGGGTGGGGTTAACCCAGAAATACCAATGAGTCATGACCAGGTGTGGAAACGACAGATTAAAGCGACGTGACCTCACCTCACTTCACCTAACCACACCTCACCTCACCTCCCAGTACCACGTGTGCTCATTCAGTGGCAACAAAGAGATACTGCCAGATGAATATTTTACCAAAATATGCATTTATATGCAGTTATCTAGGTAATATGCACTTATCATAGAAATCACGCAAAATATGCATTTGCATATGAAATATGCAAATGCATAACTATCCGGGCCCTAATAATAACTAATACATATTTAAGCTTTTATTCAGAGTTTTATAAGTACCAGACTTTGTTAGTTAAGTATAATTATTGTTATGTTGGCAAAAATGTTATTCAAGTAGAAGTAAAAAAGGGTCTAAAAGAACTCAAGTACAGTACTGAAAGTAAAAAGTAACAACAAAATTATTGTCTCAAATATTAAAATATATCCACAGTAAATTATTTTTGTAATATTTAGTTATTATTTAGCTACGAATAATTATGTATTCTATGCAAAATTTATAGGATTATACTCAAGGATCCCTTGTCTATATTTTATACTCGTGGTCTTTGGCCTGGCGGTTATTCTGACTCAAGGATTTGAATTGAAACAGTTTATTTAGCCAGAAAAACACAGATACAGAGTGGTTAATAAAAACATTGTTAACATGGCTGAGCCAGTTGAGAACCTGAGCTCTCTTTTAGGCACCTCATATATACTATACATTTATCTCAAGGAAGTATTATGTAACATTTAGTATCATCTGGGATAGTACAATAGCATGTTGGTAATAAAAAGATCTCATAATGTTACCATGGTTATTGTAATGACTACGATCATACACGTCAGTTAACGTAAAATCAGATGATTCATATAACGCTCAATAGCCCACAAAACATGTAGCTATGCCTTCTTTATTGAGTCTCCCATCTAAGGCGTTCGTTTTCTCATCGCTTCAAAACGCCTGAGTCCTCCGTTATCCCATTTCCTCTGACTTCCTGAAATCAACTTCCCTATAGAGCGAATTTGAATGTGAGAGAGAACACCCTTGTTTTGAGTCAACTTAGATATGTTTGATTACAGTTAAAGCATACAAGATCCTTTGTGAGTGATGTTACTTTTACTTTTATCCTCTTCGCCACTGATCGGCTTGTTAGCCGCTTGGGCGATCGGTCACGTCTCTTTTCCTTTATATTCTTCACCAAAAGGTCGGCTCGCTAGCCGCCCGGGCGATCGGTCACGTCTCTGTCACGCACTGTTGGCAAATACTGGGCATGCACCGGCTCCTGAATGTACCTGAACCCGCTCCAGTGTTGGTCAAGTCTTCTCTTGAAAGAGCTCACACTCGGTGCCGTCACAACACTCTCTGGTAGATTGTTCCAAGAGTTTACAACCCTCACTCCGAAAAAGTTTGCCCTCACGGTTTTCCGGACTTGCGGCTTCTTCAATCTTGAGCTGTGACCCCTTGTGGGGCGAGCGTCCGCCAGCTCCAAGTAAGGACACTCAACTGAGTAGTGCCCCCTGAGATGCTTATAAACCTCAACTAGGTCCCCCCTTGCCCGTCTGTAGTATAAGCTAGGCAAGTTCAGGCGCTCCAATCTCTCAGGGTAGCTGAGATGCCGAAGTGCAGGCACCAGTTTGGTGGCCCTCCTTTGAACATTTTCAACCAACTGACAGTCCCTAGCATATCTCGGGGACCAGATGGGGTGACAGTACTCCAGATGGGGAAGCACTTCACTCCTGAAGATCGTCACGAGGGACGGACCGTCTAGATATCTGAACGACCTTCTTATAAGACCCAATAATTTATTTGCCTGATTTACCTTCTTCTCACAATGGCCCGAGAACTTCAGCTCATTGTCAACATACACACCTAGGTCCTTCTCACACACAGTCTCAACTAGTACATTTTCTTCATCCCGTTGGGACATATGGTACGCCTCCTTACCGTTGGTACGCCCCAGGTGCATCCTCTTACACTTCGTGACATTGAATCTCAGCAGCCATTCCTTCGACCATTCCTGGAGCCCACAGAGGTGCTTCTGCAGCTCTTCACAGTCAGCTTGGTTCTTAATTTCCCGAAATAACTTGGCGTCATCGGCAAACATTTGTATGGAGGAGTGTACAACGTCAGGCATATCATTTATGAAACAAACAAACAACAGCGGGCCCAATACACTACCCTGCGGTACCCCACTTGTTACAGGTACAGATGACGATTTCGTGCCATTAATCACCACACATTGCTTGCGGTCATGTAGAAAGTCTTCTATCCACGCTAGGACATTTCCCCGAATTCCGTACCCTTCCAGTTTGATTTTCAGCCTTTCGTGGGGTACACTGTCGAAAGCCTTGGCAAAATCTAGGTAAATATTGTCGATATTACCACCCCGTTCTAGAATATGGGTCCAAATATCCAATACCTTGAGCAATTGTGTCAAGCAAGAGCGCCCCGGCATAAAACTGTCTTTGTTGTTAGTAACATTGGTTAGGTAAGTGAGTGTTGAGTCTGCCAGGACAAACGACATCCCATGATATTGTCCCTAGGAATAGCCATGAGTTTCCAATTGCTACTGAAGTTTGATTATTTTGTTGCCCAAACATCAGAGAATCGGATGTTTGTAGTTTAGTTAGTGTCAGTTGTCTATTTAAGAAAGTCATTAATCTCCTGAGAAGAACATTTCAAACTCCTTATCTCCAAGATCTAACGCCTCCACTTGAAGAGTCCCTTGTTAGCAACTGCGCTGAGCTTGCAAAATTAAAGTTATCAACGTGTGTAATTCCACTCTTTCCTGGCAAGCTCAAACTCTGATTAGATTATATGAATGGGAATAAACGTAGGAAATTAGCCTGACCAGGAACACTGACATTCATAGCTAAGTGTACAGCGATCCAAATTGTATAGAAGGTCTGTTGTTGGTGAGATCAACCTTTTTGGTACGAATGCGTAGGCCGGAGCTGCCCCCAGGGCTCACGTATATACCGATACACGAGGAAGAATCACACATTCGTGACTCTTCCTCAATGCATCTCCAGGTATGTGAACGATTGTTTCCCGCCTCCATGTTAAGTCAGTTTAACTTAGTCGATTTTGTGAATATCAGTGTTCATGTTTTAACCTTGTGAAATAATCATGTGTCACATAATTCGAGTAAAGTCAGTATCGTCTGTATCGTTGCCAGACGTATGTTTTGTGTAGTTGAAGTTAGAGTTACACATTCGTGACTCTTCCTCAATTCATCTCCAGGCCCAGTGTGTGTGTTAGCTGAATACCCAGCAGCTACCGGGGATCGGTAGCTGTATAACAGCTAGCTGTATTTGACGATGTCGTTAATTCGACAGGATAAACTGTGAAGTCCGCACCCTGCAAATTAGGCCCCCAGCTCCCTCACAGTGTGTTGGTCTACAACCGACCCCAAACAGCTATCTTCATTTGTTGTGGAGACACCAGTGTCATATACCCTGGGGCACTCCTCACAGTTACATGGGCCTAAGTATTATTGTATCTTGATTGAGGGATTAACTAACAGAAATATGGAAATCCCAGGTTAAGTAGTGAACCCATAACTATTAATAGTACCAGGAAATATGTTATGTGAGTTGAGTACACGAACTGAAGGAAAAGTACCATGTTGTTCATGCCGATAGAACATGATGTTATAAGTTTATGGGTCATTGTCAAGTGTCATATAACCATCTGTAGTGACAATGGAGTAATATAATGATTGTTAACTGTTGTAACCAAGTATTGAAGATGTAAGTTGTTACTTGTAAAGTAAGAC